CTGTCAGTCACGGTCACTGGCCCGCCTCCTATTTCAGCCACACGGTCCACCCCGGCCCATAAGTCTGCTTCACCATCTGCCCCACCATCCCCTGACTGGGCCTCCCAGGACCTGGCATCCCCTGGGGAGGATATTTCTGAGAAAATTTCAATGTAGAGTAAACTGATTCATCAGACTTAAAAACTAGGATGTGCAAATGTTACAGTTAATGCTCAGCAAGGATGCTGTGTGCCGGGCTTGTCTGAGGGGCTAGAGGATTAAACCAAACCTGAGAAGAGTCGCACCATCGGAGGTGGCGGAGGCGCTTTTACTGAGTTAGCTGGTCAAGGCGACACCAAGGGATCCTGCTGGGTTTGCGCAGAGTGCGAGTTCTCGTGGCGCTGGTTTACGGTGAGCGTCAGGGCAGGGCTGCTGAGTCTTAGCCGTAGCAGACACGCTGCTAGCCATTCAGGTTTGCCTGGACTCTGCCCCACTTACTTCTAGTCAATAACGAAGGATTTGTGATTACTTACAATTTCAGACACTGGGATTTGGTACAGTTACATGGCTTTTTAGACTTGTGTCCCATGAACCAAGAGTTCCTCTACAAAGATTAAAAAGGAAAAGGTATTCAGATGGTTACTCTTTGAAAAGGGAATTAGCTAAGCCTCTGGTGTTTTTGGACAAATACTGAAAAGCTCAACACCGGATAGATACAGGTATTGTTTATCAGTACCTGGTCATGCGATGGGGTGGTCTGCGTGTTCACAACGTGAAGGAGCCACCCAGCCAGGCCCAGCTCAGCCCAGAGAGCCAGTGGGGTGCTGGGCAGGGTCCTACTGCTGTCCCCTCCCCAAGAAGCCTTCCCTGCATTTATATCCATTGATCTGTGTGTGGCTCCCCACACCAAAAAGCTCTTTTTGTCTTTATTTTTTGTATTTTCCCAAATCTGAACACTAATGGAAAGTATGAATGAAAGAACAACAGATAAGCCATCACTCGCACTGTCACAGCAGCATGAGAACTGTCCGACTAGTACAACCAGCAGTGTCAAAGTGTGTTTTGAATGTGTCATGTGGGCACTGGGGTTCACCCTTCCAACCACGCCTGAGGGGATCAGCCCAGAAGCCATCCTCAGGGGCATCAGAGGAGGAGAGATAATCGTGTGTAGGATGCTGCTACACACGAGGGGCAGCTGCGGGCAGAGAAATCGGGACAAGGTCCCAAGCGTTGCTTACAAATGCTGCTCCCTGTGGGAACTCCTAGGGTTCCCTAAGGGTTGAGGGAATATTGCCAAGGCCAGATGTTTGGTAGATCACAGTGAGGAGGAGGAGGAACACACATGCCAAAACACAACTGTGACCAGGGCTCTCCCTCCTGGGGTGTGTGGCCATCTCCTGTGGCCACCTGCTCCCTGAGGCCACGTGTGCAGCTTCACCTCTGTAACCACTGGCTGCTTCCGACGGGGCAGGGACACCTCTTGGTTTCAGGTTTCCTGCAGGTCTACACCAGTAGTTGGCACACACAAAGCTTGCTGTCTCCTGTCACCCCACAGAGCACGGGAATTACCCCAGTTGGAACCAATGCAATGACCCTGAAGGGCATGCTAGGCCAGCCCAACTGCCCTGTGCTCTGTGCCCGAGCACACATGGGTGCCTTTGGTTGGAACTGAGGTCAGCGTAGCCCTCGCTCGGCCCACCTCCCCTCTGCCCCCGCACACTCCACTCATCAGTCCTCCCCGCTACGCTCATGACTATGCTTCTACTTCGTGACCCTCCCCCACCCTGCCATTTGAAACAGGGAGTGGTGACTGGCGCACAGATGAGCTGCTAAGCCTTACTTCTGGAGATGTATCTCATTTCTAAGATAATGTCCCCATGCTATGTCATGGAATGCTATACTAATTTATTCTGCATCTGGTTAGTTTTCCCCTTTGTAGGCCGGAGAGCTGCAGCCTTCCTTCCTCTCGGTGCCTGGAAGTGGCAGATCCGGCTACACTGCCCCTGCCCACCCGTCGTGGATCGGACATGGGCTGTCAGGGGAGGGGGACGTGGCACCCACTTCACTGCTCTCACCCAGCCTTCAGCCCTGCCTCTAAAATGGGATGGGGTACATGGAGACACTCCAGTGGTGACTTGCCATAACCGTGGAAGGAGAGAGTGTCTACGCTGTCAGCAAGATGCCAACAGGCATTTACTAAGAGGTCATCATGTGGCCAGGACTGTCCTAAGTGCTGCAGGGGAACGCCAAAAAAATATATATATATGTGTGTGTATATATGTATATGTATATGTATATGTATATGTATATGTGTATGTATATGTATTGGTACAGTGCCTGTCCTGGAGGAATCCATCAAATAATTTGGGACATGATATATACACAATTGAGAAATTAGAGAATAGCTGAAATTATAGAATCAACTATCAAATTGAAACTGATTGTAAATGATACAAAATTCAGAGGCAGGATAGTTTTATAAAGCTATAAAAACAAAATACTTCTGAAGGAAGTAGAACTTGACATCAACTTTCAAGGGTGTGAAGGTTTTTGTTATCCAACAAAAGGATGTTGAAACAACTGCATGAGCAAAGACGCCATGTTAGGGATGAGCACAGAGCGCCTGAAGGGACAGCAAGGGGACAGGCTGATTGTGATGGACCACACTGGGAAAAAACTTCCATGGGTCTAATAATGTTTGACCACTTTCTTCTGCCAATTTGAAAATTAAAGAGAAGAGATCTGCACAAGTTTGCCTCAGAGAATCATTATAAATACACTGTACCACAACGAGATATGACCTCATCTTTAAGTAAAAATTTCCAGAAGCAGACTCTTGAATATTCTTTATTATAATGTTCATTATTTTACCAAAAATAATAGCATCAATGATGTATGAAACAGAATTTCATGTAATCTGATTGATAATCAGATCATTAAAGCTATGCAGAGTGACAGGATGTGAATTTTGATTAATATGATAAGCTAGTTAATAAGTTAGCCAGCTCACCATCTGCCTCTAAAGAATGGTGACGGGGCGAATTTACCCACGTGGACTACTGGCCGTAGGCCCAAGCTGGCCTTCTTCCGTGTCATCTACTAGAGTAGAATGTTTAAACCATATTGGGCTGAATTTCCTTTCTGATATCTTCAGACCTAATCTGACCTCGTTATCTTGTGGAAGTCAAAAGAAAAAAAAAGCCAAACAATGCATCTAAAAAGGTGAAGAGGTACAGCAAGTCAGGTGTGGCTGGGACTCGTACAGAGTGAACCCACCAGCGGTGTTCCGACTGCTCTCTCACTGCAAGTGATAAGCCGGTAGAGATTCCAGGACACCCGTCAGCACTGTGGATATTGACATAAAAATCATCTGGCTGATTGAGTGCAAGGACATCAAATCAACTAATTATTTGCAGCAAAAAAATCACCAAAACAAAGCTCATGTTGTTCCTGGCACATCATTTATAATAGAGAAATAGCTTATGATCTGCGTAATTACTTCACAGTAAAGAAAACCTCATAGAGACTGGGAAAGTGGGGGACAGGAGGGGGAAGAAACACACTGCAGTGAAAACTTGCTCACAACTGCTCCTCTGTGGAAACCTACATCAGCTACGACACAGAGAAACCTCAGATGGCACTGTAGCTCTGAGAGCACACACTTGAAATAAAATATTAGAAGCACCAAATCCCCTTAATGTTCTAGACACAGTAAAGCACATGGTGGTACAAAGCTGTGGGCCAGATGCTCCCAGATTACAAGAAAGGTCAAGTGAGTATCTGCAGGATTGTAACATCTTAGGTCACACGGTGTGACCAGAGAGCTCATACTACCAGGAGCACCCAGAAGTTGTTTACATAGTTTTTGTTTTGACCAGAAGTGTTAAGAGCCACAATTATAGGACCAATTACAATAATAGCAAGCACGCCCTGGCTGGTCCATGACACCAAGAGAGTGAGGCAAGGACAAAGGCCCCGGACAGTCTTATCCCATCACATTAATTGAAAGTCATCAACTGACGTGGCCCTGATTACAACCAGCTCAAAGACCAACTGCTGAAACTGAAGCAGTGAATTACATGAGCAACTGACACTTTTCAGAGAGGACGGACGCAGAGGTGAGTATTAATTGAATTCATGTGTCTCCAGAACTCTTCCAGATGGTTCACCTTTCACACTGCCCTGCACAACTCTCCTCACACCAATGCCACAGTGAAGGTGCACCTGGTGGCAGACACTTCAGGAGCCTGGAATCATGAGAGGCCACAGCTGACCTTCCGTAAATTGCCTGACCTGATTTCTTTCAGGTCCTCAGATGTCCATCTGCATTAGACTGTGTGCCCTAAAACTTTTGGAATCAGGAAGAGACTGATCTTCATAACCAACTAAAGGGCTCAGTGAACAGAAAGGGCTGCCCTGTCCGCTGGTAGCATATGAATGTTACCTCCACAAACAGTTTCGACCAGCTTGGTTAGTTTAATTAGTTGCAATTATAGACATGAGTTTAAAATGGCAAGACAAGGTCACAGATAAGTGCTGCCACGTCCACGAGGAGACCACGTGCCTTGACACCTGCCACTCAGCATGAGCTTACCACACAGGGACCGAAGCTGGCAGGGGCAGCCCGTAAAGGCACAGTAAGACCACTGGCGACATGAAGTGACTGCCACGCCATTACTTACGTTGATGACAGCAAACAAGAAAGAGAGCAGCTAAGTTTAAACCAATGTGAAATCCAGACAGAGCTGTGAATGGCAGCAAGCCTCCGAAGCGCTGACACCGGCAGTGGACAGAGATGGAAGCAAATGGAGGCTACAGGTCAGCCCCTGCTGCAACCACCAGCCAGACACGCACAGCAGCACTGCTAGTACACTGCTTCACGTCAAACTGGCGTTCCAGGAGTCATGAAAGTTTGCAGGTAAAGCTAATTTTAAAACTCAGAAGAAAATCACAAATGTACCCAAGAGACTCTTAAACTCTTACATTAAAGTAAGTGACAGCTGATTGCTTTTAATCCTTACCCAGCCAAAGTTATATTTGGTGGTCCTGGAAGAGTTGATCCCGAGGGGAAAGCAGACCCACTGACTACGGATGGTAAGGCTGTATTATCCAGCTGTTTAAAGGCAAAGGAAAGCATATTTTGAATTAGTAAACATCTTAAGAGTTTATTCCAGTCAGCCCCTAAGTACAGATAAAAACGATTCTTTTTCCACAATCCCTTTACAACAGTGTCTGGGCCCTGATACCCCCATGATGTGACTAGTACCTGAGCAGGTTCCAGCCAAGGCTTTTCAGCAGCAGTGGGAGGAGCCCAGCCCTAGTCAGCTCACAGCCCCACCCGACCACAGGACGCCCCCGGTGAGAAAGCCCTGACTGTGGACAAAGGGACATGGGTTAGGGCTTCAGGGCCAGGCCATCCACAAGATGACCAGCAGTACACACAGCTGTCAGTTGGCTGGTCAGTGACACTGCAATGGACATCGTATTCATTTTTATGAACTACACATTGTGAACTAAATTCAGTTGCAAATTTCTGTAAACTTCAAATGTTCTTTAATTATTATTATATTCTTGGTATAACACAAGAGATCTTGACATTTTCATCTAGTCATGACTTTTTCATCTAGTCATGAAAAACTTTGTAGTCTATTTTAACAAATTCAGAAGCAATGTCATAATCTCGGCATTTCCATGTCCTTTGTTTCTCATTTTCCTTTAAATTATCCACTAGCATGACTCACAAGGAGAGGAAAGGGTGGTAAAATTAATACTGAACTAATTTTCTTCTTATCAGAATCTTGAAGAAATTTAAAGCATTGACTACATCTAGGTTTTGAGATTATTTGCATAAACCACAGTTAAACATCCTGTCCTGGTCTCTTCCTTCCCTGAAGACTTGAAATTAAAAAATAAATTTTGTTTAAGAAGCATAGTCTTGGAAAACACATTTTACTCATCTTCCTCCTTTTCTCTCTTCTGCCTCTTTTTAAACTGTGTGCAATCACTCCCCGTTGGGGCCTGAAGACACTGAGAAACCAGCCTGGGTCCCACTCCTTCATTACAAATCCCCCCAAGTCCCACGGGAGTCACCCCAGGGCCCCTCCTTGGGTCTGGCTGAGAGCTGAGGACTCTGCTCTCCTTTCGGGTCACTGGAGGGGGTGTTCACAAGTTACTGTTTCTTTTACAGTCACCCAGACACCTACTGGGTGGACGTCTGCAGGTAGCAGTGCAGAGTTTTGCATTCTTTTGGAGAAAGGATTTCAAGTTCTTGGGGTTGAGGCAATTCTCTGCATAAACCAGATACAATTTCTCTTTTTCTCCTTTGCTTATTTAGCCCCAAAGTAAAGCAGAGAAAAAGAGACATCTTTTAAGCACTACATAGGTAGTAAATCTAGGGCAACTTAATCCTAGAATCTATGACTTTCCTCGGCAACATCTGGCGGCCTGGGATAGAAGTAAACTCTAAGGTATCGCTTTTCTCTGTCACAACACCTAAAATGCAGATTCTGTGTCAGTGAGTCTGGGGTGGAGCCTGAGATCCTACATTTCTCACAGGCTTCTGGGGCTTCCCATGCTTCTGGTCCACACACCACACTTGCAGCAGCGAAGCGCTGAAGAATATACAGCACTGGGGTTTGGCAAGGAAGCAAGGGGCCCTAGCGATGCAGCAAGGGCGCGGCTAACGTAACTGCCCACGCTGCGTACGGCCCACCCTGGATGACAAGCCAGGGGAGCCAAAATGAGAACAAGAATAAACACAGCTGAGGGAGAGTGCAGAGGAAGGGAAGGAGGTTGTGGCCCAAAGGGCCTTTCAGTGCATGATCTTAGCGGTGGGACAGCAAGTCCGACGTGTGCCCCACCGACTGGGGCTGAAACTGTCAAGGAGGCGGGTGGCGTGGAGGAGGCCAGGAGGGAGAGGCCCCCGAGCCCCAACAACAGAGACTCTGTATGTGGTGCTCGCGGCATCACAGTTCACTCATCTCCTTCCCTGATTAACACTCTCGCCCTTCCTGGCTCATGGATCATTTGAGAAAGATTTATTTACTCTCTCAGCAAATAGTTAACTCTATTTATGTCCACTGCCTGAGAGATCTCCTCTAGCCTCGGGGTGTTCAGTGCCATCCACACGCTGGCAACTTCGTCCCTCCAGCCCAGTCCTTCGTCACTCTGGACGCCAGACCTGTGTATCCTACACAACGTCATCATGCGTGTGTCTGAGAGACACCTCACATTTAACATTCCAAATGGAGCTCCTAGCCTCCCTCACAAAACTTGCACCATCACATCGCTCTTGAGGGAAGCTCCATCTTTCCGCTAGTTCAGGCGGAAGGACCTGGGACGTCCCTGACCCCTCTGTTCCTCTCATGGCCCACAACCAGTCCCTCAGCAAACCCTGCTGGCTTAGCCTTGAAAGTATCCTGACAAGCTGTTTCTCGCCTCCGCTGCCACCTCCTGGTCAGGGCCACCACGGTCTCTGACGCAGACCATTCCACCAGCAGGTATACCTGCTCTCACTTCGTCCTGCCTCAGGGCCAGCCCCCTTTCAAGCAGAGAGAAAACACAGGCCTTCCGTCATGTCCCTCATCTCTGTCATCTCTGGCTTCCTCCTGCTACCTTCCTCTTGCTCGCTCCGTCCCAGCCCCACTGGCCTCCTTGCTGTCTCCACCGCAGGCTGAACCTGTGCTGTGCTGTTCCCCCTGCCTGGAATGTTCTTCTGTGTGATAGTCACATGGTTCACCCCTCCTCTTTTTCAAGACTTTGTTCAAATGTCACCTTCTCAGCGGAGCCAGTTGTGACCACCCTGTGCAACCTGCCTTCCTCCCCTAGGCCCCATCCCCCAGTGCCCATCCACTGCTCTTCCAGCATGCAATACAATTTCCTGATTAGATTTCCTTATTGTCTGTCTCTCACACAAACATATAAGCTGCAGGAGGGTAGAGCTGTATGTTTTGATTTCTTTTGGGGGGTTCACTTAGCATTAGCTCCCTGATGTAACCCAAGTGCTAGGACCAGGGCCACCCTATTGAAGGTCACCCTGTATGAATGCCCATACATGCTGGCCTTGTCCCAGCTCTCAGGTCACAAACAAGAATCACAGGATCTCTGCTCCTTTAGAGCTTGCATCCCTGTGGGTGGATGCAGGCAAACAAACAGCCAACTGAAGAGCGCAAGACAGTGACAGTGCTGTGCGGAGATTCAAACAGGCGCTGTGACAGCGACTGGCTGTCTGCACTGGGGAGTTGCAGAAGACTTCCGGGGAAGTGACATTTTACAGCAAGACTTAGGGAAAAGAGCACATTTGTCTTATATTAACTCTTGCATATTATGGTGTAATCATAAAAGCATTTTAAACTTTTAAAGCTATTTCCTTAACCCTGAGGATGGTGAGGGATGTTCTAGACCAAGTGGGAGGTACATGCCGATGGGTGGCAGGACCACAAAGGACAAGCTCAGCAAATGGGGTGGAATTATGGCCTGGAGGCTGTGGGAAGGGGCCAGGCATTTTCACGAGTTGGCAGAGAATGGGGTCTTAGACTCACTCCGCTACCCCCAGTGACTGACACAGGGGTGAAGGTGTTAAACTCTCAGTGTATGTTTCACTGCTGATTGTAAGATGCAGGATAGATTATATTTTCTGAGTAATTCCAACTTCGACAATTGAAATTTCAAGAAACAATAATGCCCCATTGTACTTTTTTTATTAAAACAATGACTTACTTGTTGTGTAATGAGATTTAATTTTGCTGGTACTGGCAAAAATCTTCCTACTAAAGTAGTCATAGGTTTAGGGGCATCTGTAAGGAAGACAATTGCAATTAATTGACAGCACATATTGTTCCTTTTCCACTTGCACATGGAAGAAAGTACAAAAATGATCATGTGTCAAGAGTTTAACATGTGCAAAGTCACTTGTCTTGATCTTATTTATGTTTTCTATAAAACCTTTCTGTTTTTCAATGTTTTGGGGTTTTTGTTTTTTTCTTCTTACTACACCCTTTTTCTTTGTCATAATGCTACTTAACTTGACCTTCCAGGGACAGTTTACTA